CCCAGTAAGAAGAACCAGGGATCCTTGGAGAAGTAGCTGAGTCTGCTATTAGGCAGGAAGTAAATAAGATGAACCCACAGCATCATATAGAGCCAGAAAGTAAGGAAGTGCTACACACACACACACACACACACACACACACAATCAGTGATGTTAAAAGGACACAGGTCCTCATGACTAAAGCTGGAATCATTTGATCAAAAAAATAAATAAAGTAGTATTGGTATGGAGGAACAACTGTGAGGATGACACCCAACCGGGCAGTGTTTTCGGTTGTTTGTTTTCTGTTGTGCATGTGGTTGCTATGGGTTGTAATCAACTCGATGGCACCTAACCACAGCAATAGTACATGCTGATGTAAATCAATGACGGAGTAAATTCATAAATACAGACAATGTTGACAGAGCATCCACTGTGTGCCAGGAGCAAAGGGCGTGCTGGTGAACCAGGCAGCTACAATACTTGTGTTACTGCTGTGACTTTGTAACACCCAGTTGTAAGAAGCAAATGCCATCCAGTGTGTAAAGCGCCCAGCAGTCACTTTGGTGGCAGACTTTATTCTCCAGTACTTAACACAGTGCCTCGCACATTTAATCTCAACCTACATTTGCTTCCCTTACTCCTTACTGGTTGTCTCATACATGCTACCACCTCATCTCTGTTCTCCCCACGCCCCTCAAATGAAGCTGCCATAAGTTATCCTGCTGAGGTTCTTCAAGATGACCTGACTTATTCAACCATACCAAGCCAGTTCCTAGGAGCCCACCCGTTTGACCATAGTTGCCTCCCAGGCTGTCACCCTGGTGTCCCTCACAGCCAAGAGAACAGTGTCTCTATTTCAGGAGACATCATCTACTGGTCCCAAAGGTACCAAATCAAATTAGAGTAGCATGCTATCTCCTTTTCAATCAGCATTTTTACTTTCTTTCCACATGCCTGGCTTGAAGATTCCTCTTGTGTTCATTGAAAGAAGAGAGAAGCGGTGGTGATGGTGGTTAGATACCATCGAGTTGACGTCAACTCATAGTGAGCGTTTGTAGAACAGAACAAAACGCTCTGTCGTGTGGCACCCTCTTCACAGTCGTTGCTCTGTTTGAGCCCATTCTTGCAATCAGTCCATGTCATGGAGGGTCTTCCTCGTTTGGGGTGAACTCTATTTTATAAAGCATGCATGATATCCTGCTCCGGCAATTGGTCCTTCGGGATGACGGGATCAAAGTCAGCAAAGCATGGTCTTGTCACCTTCCTTCAAAGGAACATTCTGGATATGCTTCCTCCAGGATGGAGGTTTTCGTTCTTCTGGCTGTCCATGCTATATTCAATGTCTTTTACCATCAACATGCTCTAATACATATTCATGTAAGTGTATTTTACATAACATCGATCCACTTCCAAAGACACACTGTCTTGGAATTAAGACGACAGACGAATCTATTATTTGAATTGTGGGGTGGGCAGAGAAGACTGAAAGTGGCCTGGACCGCCACAAGGACAAACAGGTCTGTCTTGGAAGAAATATGGCCAGAGGCCTCCATAGAGGCAAGGATGGCGAGACTTCTTCTTACAGGCTTTGGGCACGCTGTCAGGAGAGACCAGTTCTTGGAGAAGGACATCATGCTTGGAAAAGCAGAGGGGCAGTCAAAAAGAAGGCCCCCAACAAGATGGATTGACACAGTGGCTGCAACAGTGGGCTCACACAGAGGAACAAATGTGAGGATGCAGCACGGGGAGGGCTCCTTTCTGTTGTGCATACGGTTGCTATCACCGAGAACGGACTCGATAGCACCTAGTACAACAATAACGGTCTAAAACTGAAGGTCGTATGTACAAAGTTGTGTGTATGTATGTGGTGTAATGCTGGAAATAATTTAATATTTAATGCTGTTTGTATTTGTTCCTAGATACTGTTAGAAGCTGTGTGGCAAAGTTGTTCTTCACCTGCTCCCTGAAGGGTCATTACTGTCTATACAGTAAATCCAGTTTTATTCTCATCAGTCAAGAACCTCAGCCTTGGATCCAGATCATGTTTCTGTTTCAGCAGGTGTGTGCAATTCAAGTGCGTCATCATCACGGCTCCTTAACAAACTGGTGGTGTGTGACTTTAACTTTTTTTTTTTACTGATTTACTCATTCTTTGGCAAAAGTAATTATATAGATAATAGCAATGTAAGCACATTTGATTAATACTTTCTTAACATATATACTTTAGGATGTACACTTTAGTTACACACTTATATACCTAAAGTTATACACTCTGGGATATTTTCTGTATTGAGGACCCTGGATTCATAATCAGTATGCCTAACTTATTTGTAACTAAAGTATCTTCAGCTTTAAGAAATAAGACTAGAAGGGAAAATACGTTTTGGTTTTAAAAATTACTTGGGGGACTAGCTTTCCTCATGTAAAACTAACCCTTACTTCTCTGAAATTCTCCAATTGCCAATTAATTTTAATGTGAACATATTCTTTTATACTTTGCTAAAATACTAGAATGATACTTTTTCCCCTAGAGAATAAATATATATAAATGAAATTACATTTTAAAAGGAACTTTCAACCTCACAATAAAGCATTTGATCCAGAGAGGTTAACATCAAACAAAATTTTTATTTGAAAAATTTTTGCATGTGCTAACACTCGACCTAAAATTTGAATGCAGATGAGAACCTTTTGGTGATAGAGGAAATCCCAGACATCATTTTTACAGATAGGAAACTAAAGGGATGGAGCTCAGGTCATCTGGCTGCTAATTCCTGGTCCTTTCATCATGTATGTTAATATGGGAAAGGAACGGATGGGCCCTGGGGGCACAAAGGGTTTGCTCTCAACTAGTAACTAAAAGGTTGGCAGTTGAACCAACCCAGCAGTACTGAGGAAGAAAAAAGGCCTCCATACCTGCTTCCACAGAGATTACAACCCAGAAAACACCCCAGGGCAGTCCTACTTGTAACCCACGTGGTCTCCTAAGTCACAATGACTAACAAAAAAGCCAAGTATGAATAACAGAAACTAGAAAGAAGGGCATGTGGGTAGGAACAGAGAGAGCCGAGACAGAAGAAAACAAAAACAGAATACAGGTTCCTGACGTGGTTGAAAATTAAGTCCAGCGATCAGATGATTTATTCACTTCGATGAATTGAACCTTTCTCTAACACTCTAAACAAACGTCACCGATGAGATCATTTTATGTTTTCACTAATGATGGCAGGTTCAGCCAGAGAAAGGGGGCAAGACCCCGCTGAATACCTAATCAAGTGGAACTACAGGAATTAAGGAAAGAGATAGGGTAGATATTCCTTAGGATATCATTTTTTTCTAAACTAAACCCTCTAACAACATTGAACTAAATCGAGTAGAGCAATTCACAGTTTGATGGGAATCGAATGAGGCATCTGTACATATACAGAACACTATTGATTTTTTCTTCCTTGGCTTGAAATAATTGACCTGATATTTCTTGTGGTTTACACATATTTTTCAAAGAGTTTTGACAGTGATTTTATATCTGGTTTCATCTCTTGCTTTGTTCTTCATCAAATTTTTCCAAACAAACCAAGAAGCTGCATTTCTTTCCCCATCTCAATCTTATTTTAATTGACTTGCTCTGATTCTTTATCTTTTTCTTTAAGCAACATCACCGAAGAGAGTCTGCTTGTATTGCATTTCTCCTGGGTTCATTTTGGTGTACTGGTTTCTTTCTTTTCCCACACCTGTGGTGTTGTGACATCTTCTGGGTAAATCCTGACAGAGGGTGATCAAGTCAAATCTTCGACTTGAATACAAACCCACCGCTCGCCTTTTGTGCTGGGCCAGACTCACTTCTCGGCCAACCTCAACAAGCTCATGGGGCCCTCCAACTCGCAGAACCCAGTCTGAGGCTCCTCGGGTGTTTGCTTCTTTAAAAGAAAAGCTTTGTGTGTTAGAAGTTTCTTTTGATCATCAAGAATTTTCCAAATGTGCTCATTTTGATCATCAAGAATTTTCCAAATGTGCCTAATCTGTCTATCATGGGCTGTGTTAGACAGGGTTCTCCAGAGAAACAAAACCAGGACACTAATAATTTTATATATATTTAGATACATATATAACACA